TTAGATATAAACCCGGATATGAGGCAGAAAATAAGTGGACGGATGGATGGATACAGCACTGGAAAAGTATTTTTATATGTTGTTAGGAAAATGGGAAATAGTTTATTGGAACATAAGCAAAGACACAGAATATAGGGCACAAAAATGTAAAAAACAAAACAAAACGTGTTTGTAAAATTCTATCCAGCTTGAACGACAATATTTGATGTGAACGCCTTTGTTCTTCAACGCAGCCTGAACTGTCTTCCATTTATTTCTTTAATTCATCTTCATGAATAGTTCAGGCTTCTTGAACATTCACAGCTCTTCTTTGGACGTTGGCTGTCATTTGACGATCCGACAGTACAGCAGTAGTGTTGAGGTCCGGGCTCCGTGGAGGCCTATCCATGACTGATGGTGTTCCCAAACACATTGTCATGCTTTTACTCCACTGACAGTGTGTTTGTGATCACTGCTATGCTTAAAAAATATATAGCTAATCTGAATACAGATAGCAGATCAATGGTGGTGGAGGATCAAAATCTGACAGGACTTTTCTGCTTTTTTAATAATTCCATCTGTTTTAAGAAGGTCTCCAGAACCACTGGCTGAAATGCAGCCCCACTGCAACAGATCCTCCACCGTGTTTTACGGGTGACTGCAGACACTCACTGTACCTCTCTCCAGACCTCCAACTTGTCCAGTTTCCTCAAATATTTAAGGAGACACTGGACATCAAACCAAGATATGAAACTTCTTTAGCTAATAGCCCTTTGGGAGTCACCATGTTAGGGTGAAAACACTATTTTATGTTTGTCAGACTGTGTTATTTCATTGTTTGTAGATTCAACTAAAGAAAGAAAAAAAGATTTTTGTGTTTTGTTTTGGGGGGGGGGGGGGGGGGGGGAAAAGCAGATGGAAATAAAATGCCTAAAGATACAATTTAAAAATGGTTCTTTGCTAAACTGTGTTATGTGTGAACACAGCACTGGTTCACAGCTAGATGCATTTTTGTGTGCTTGAATGATGTATAGGTCAGTGTTAAGTGGCTTAACAACATTTCTCTGACAATGGTCAGGTACAAGGACTGGACTGAAAATAAGTGAAAAAGCAGCCAATATAAAAAACAACAACAACAAAAATAACCAACACTCATGAAGTCCTTTAGAAAGCCTGGAGAACTATTGTTCAAGACCATTTTAAAAATCCCAAGAAGGCCTGACTCATTGGAAGCAAAATGTAAAGAAATGAGAGTGGCTCAAGACTTTTGCACAGTATTGTGGGGCGACTGTGGCTCAGGGGGTTGGGAAGCGTATCTGTAACCGGAAGGTCGCCGGTCCGATCCCCGGGCTCTCTGCCCTTGTTGTTGTGTCCTTGGGCAAGACACTTTACCCTGCCGCCTACTGGTGTGGGCCAGAGGGGCCGATGGCGCGATATGGCAGCCTCGCTTCTGTCAGTCTGCCCCAGGGCAGCTGTGGCTACAACCGTAGCTTGCCTCCACCAGTGTGTGAATGTGAGAGTGAATGAATAGTGGCATTGTAAAGTGCTTTGGGTGCCTTGAAAAGCGCTATATAAATCCAATCCATTATTATTATTATTGTATATATATTTATTGTGTCATCATCAAACACACACAATGATGTAATCAGGCAAAATGTCAACCCTCCAATGACATATACAATTTAAAGGAAAAAGTGGTTATAACCATAGTTATCATATGCATACTGAGGTCACAAGAAGCTGTTTGTGCTCATAGCCATGAAAAAAATCCAAAACAGATGATTGGAAGAAACAAACAAACTGACAAACACAGGGAAAGAAATCTAACTATCACATGTGGCTTGGCCATATAACAAAGAGTGATTTACTCACCTCAGTTAATCACAGTTAAGCTACTTAAAAAAGAAAATCAGTGTGTAAGTAGAGTGGTTTGTGGTTGGATGAGTGACGCATGAGTTCAAGCGGTCTAGCTTCCAGCCATTTAAGGGAAAAAAGATTAGCCAGGTCTGGCCAGAGATGACAGTCAGCTGGCTGAGGACCTTTCCCAGCTTCACCCAAGGGTGTACTAGAACAACAAACTCAGGGGAAGGTCATCAGACCAGGGGAAAAAGAAAATCTCCCCCTTCGAGCAGTTGGGCTGCACACGATATACTCGGTAAGAAAATGTAAAAAAAAAAAAAGAGAGAGAAAAAGTTGTAACATTTTACACAAATGTATACTACAAAAATGGATTGGTCGCTCCAGCTACTGGGTTATCTAAGACAAACAATGTGGGAGTGCATTCAGCTACATCACTTTAGAAAAGGATCCAGTGGAATCATTTCTATGAAATAACTTCTGGGTTTGGTCACTGTACCAAATCAAGCAGATAAAGCATTTTAATGCTGCAGTAATGCTTCTAGTTTGTTGAAAGTTAAGTTCAGGGAAAAAAAAATGTTGATTACCTTCTACTTTTGTTGATCTGTCTTCTTTAGAGCATCTTGGCTTGTCACGGGAAGGAAAAACACGGGCAGAATCATCATTAAATATCATTTATGTGTCCTCGGGGCCAAGCATGCGAGTCAGCATGCATAATACCAGAACCCTGAAACTGGCATGACATTATGAAGTATTTATTAATTTGAGAAATTCCACCAATTTTCCTGTCAGTCAGACTGTGTGTCGGGGGAAAAAGCAACTATTTACCAACCGGAGTCAGAGACACTCAAACAAGATTTGACCTAAAAGCCACAAAAATGATCACATGATAGAAATACCTCTACGCTATTTAAATACAGAGTCATAACAGGGTCACACAGAGGGTGCAAATGTAAACTGCCATTTAAGTGTCACTACGTCTTGTAGGGGAACAACTTCATGGAACATTTTTGTGATTAGACTCAACCTTATTTTTGACTCACTGCTTATGGTTTGACTTTCATCCCAGAAGCAGCAGGTTTCTCTCAAGTTTAAATTTCTGACACGTCCTTTCCTGCATTTTGGTGGATTTTTTCTGCACCATTTTCCACCTTTTATGCATCATGGTTGGAAGTGTCTTTATGTATGAAAAGGGAAAGTTTAATATCATCAGTACTAAATCAACACCTGTACAGATTTACTCTTCTGTGTTATTTTGTGTCAGCTCAGATTGACAGTGTAATGAACTGACTGTTTACCAAGCTATTAGTGGCATCTTTAATCTCTTTAAATGGGAACCTCTGAAGTAAATAAAAAACAAATTTATTTTCATTAATCAACGTCTGAACAACAACAGTTAATTTAAAATGTCGCGTGTCTGTGTTTTGTGATGATTTCTGGGAATCGACTATGCATTTTGAGTCTGGCTGAAAAAGGAAGAACAGACAACAAGTTCAGTTGATAAACTAGGAAGACTTCCAAACTTGGGGTGGGAAAAAAGTGGGTTTTGGACTTTTTGAATATAAAACAAATCTCAGTGATGAACATCCTGGTTTCTTTGCATGACAAGGACAAGCACAAAATGTGCCCGGACATTTTGTTGTTGGCTTCACCCAAGGGTGTACTAGAAAAAACTAAATCTGCAGTTTTTCTGCTTGGTGGTGTTAACAAAGGGGAATCAGCAGAAGTTGCTGATGAGCAGAGAGAGAAACGAAGCAGCAGAGAGTGACAGAGTAACACTATTCTGAAGCAAAGTGTGAAAGGTTCCAACAAACAGATCCCTCCTTAAAACTGGACACAAATAAACCCCCAATGCAGAGAGGCCTGATACGAATTCAGTCTAGCAAGCACATTTTTTTCCATTCTAAAAAACACAAACGTGATAAGTGAAGGACTTGCAGATCGCCTCTGGAAACTGTACCTTCGAGAGATTTTAAGCAGTAGTTTTGTTTGCACTTGTCCTCACCGGTTTGGGTTCTTTGCATGACGAAGACAAGCACAACGTGTGCATGGACATTTGCCTGCATGTTGCCTGCTCCAGCACTCCATCTTGGAAAAAAAGGTCACACTTTTGGAGAAAGTGTCAGGAAAAACTGCTGTTGCATGGTAGGGCTCTCTCTTCTCTGAGTCCAGGGACACAGTTTTATCTGAGGCCAAAGGTCTAGAGTATTCAGTTGATGTCCCTGCAGCTAGCTGGACTGATTGCATGTTAATGGATTAGACAAGCACAAACCAGAACCATAAAGGGCTGCCTGTGTCACTGTGCCCAGCTTTAGACAGTATCTGGAGGTGGATAGTACAGAGGAGGGTGGCTTAGTTAACCCACTTCCTGTGGCTCCCTCACAAAAGCTCAACTCTTCTCTCCAAGCGCTGCAGATTCTCCACATCCCAGCTGGACAAAGTTTATCAGACTCAGATGGGCACTGCCCTGCCATACTGAACTTGAAAAATAGAAACTAAATATTGATCCTATCGCACTAGTATCGATCCACTATAGCAGGTTGGTATCATCAATATTTTTGTGACCACCTCAGTTCAGTTCAGTTCATTTTTATTTCAAACATTTCAAACATGTGCCTTCACAATCATTACAAAATATCATTACATTATTTGTTTGAAAAGGAGTTGTCCATACCCCCTCAAGTTTCACCATGTACACGATATTAGTGTCACCTCTGGAGCTGGAAAACTACAAGTAAAATCTATTATCTGTGGTACATTCATTGTTCATATCATACTCTTCTTCCTGGACATGCAAGCTGTAAAACTAAAATAAAATGTTTAAAATAAACACTTAAAACTGTCTCTTATAGAGTAATTTAAACAAAACAGCCGACTAAATAAAGCACCGATTTTATTCTGACCTAAAAATATCTGCCACGCTGTAAGGAGGAGAAGAATAAACTCAGCAGCGTTACATAAACGTGCAAAAACTAATCTTGCCCAAAAAATAAAAAATCAGCCTTTGACTCCGCTTTGGCTGCATCTCCGGCGGTTGCAACAAGTGGTTTGACGGACGTTTGGTTTTCATTAGGTCGTCTCGACAGTGACCCCCTGCCCCGTCTACAGTAACGTGAAACCAGCCCGCTGGCAGGCGCTCTGTGCGGAAGAGAGGCGAGCAGAGCTGATGCAGTCTGCACTGCTTTCACAACCCGGTCGGTCCGCGGGGCTGGACTGCGCTGCCTGCTGCGCACAGCGACCACAAGCTCCCCAAGTAGTGACCCACCAGCAGCGATGCGTGCTATGGCCACGCAGTAGCATTCACTGGAATAGATGGTGAAGCAGTCTTTTGCAGAAGGGATTCTTCTTGTTTTTGTCTCCCCTGGAGGTGCGCTATGGCAGCCATGGTGAGCTGTCAGAGTGGCAGAAGTTTACGAAACGGCGACTGGGGCTTCGCACCTCTGCTGGCTGCTGTGCTGCTCAGCTTTCTGCTTGCAGGGATGCAGCAGACCACAGCGTTTCCCACCTGGAGATTAGAGGTATGCTGTGACCACTTTTTCCTTGCAGCTGCAGAGTCCGGTACATAGTTGTGCTTATGAAGTTATTAAGATGCTGGTTACCTTTTGAAGTCACATAACGCCAAACTCCATTCAGAATTCTGCTCCATTTGCAAAACTGTTTATGTAACAGGAGACTACATACGGGGGTAGAAAAGTAAGGCTTATTGAAAGTTCATGGTGAAAGTGGCAGTAATGGTGAACCCAGCAATGAAACGCTGTTTTATATTGAGAGTAAGAGGTAAGGTAAAAGCAACGCACCATATATTTACCACAAATCCACAAAGGTTATTATCGGCTTTATTATTAGTTGTGCTGGCGGTGCCCACTTGACAATCAGCAAAACAGAGCAGCGGGTATCAGGAAAATACCAGATCATTTAGGAACGATGCACATCATTTTCTTTCACTGTTACATTATGCAAGAATCCGTGCAATTTCAAGCCATTCGTCTGGATCTTCAAAGATATTTTTAGCTGGAAATCCTCACATGAAATCAATGAGTGATGGTAATAGGCATCAGATTCAATTATGTGAAGTTAGATGAATGCTGCTATTAGGTTATGTCTATGGAATGGGTCTCTGTGCAGTAATATCTTCAGCGAATTGGATAAATGTGTTTCTCCACACATTTCACTCAGTGCCACCCACCCGCTGTGACATAGAGCCTGAGGGATCGCTTTATGTCACTGCCTTTGCCACACGCTCTCATTATGTGTCAGTCAAGAAGCCCGCTGGTGGGGATTACACAACTTCATGAAGTTAAGTAACAGAACAACCAAAGAGCATTTCTCATTGATTTATACTGAAATGAATCGGCAATTATCCGCTGTAACATACTTATTATTTCTATATTACTAAACGAGATTAACAATATTTGTTTTGACAATGTTCAGCCTCACTCTGTTTCATTTTAACATGAATATGTGCGTGTTGACAAAAAGTGCGACAGACAGTCTGTGTTTTGATTTGTGTACAGAAAATCGCTTTTGTTGACTAGAACCCTCAAAGTCTCTGAGGTTCAGATGAAAATCATAATCCCTTGTTTAGAAATTTCTGGAAACGAGGTTAAACTCTTCCAGACTCCCCAAACGATCCATGTGGGATTTGTCCTCAGATGTTTCGCCCTCTGTCAGCTCTCACCGCCGGCTCTGAGGTTTAGTCTAGAGGACTAGTGGGTTTGCGGTTCATCTTTATTTGTGGCAAACATGCCAGATGAGCTTTGTGGTGAATATAACAAGACGTGACACATTAAGAAACGCGCTGGCTTTAACACCTCATAAGTCACTGAACGCATGACTCCAGCATGTCAGCTGAGGTCGGGAAAAGCAACTTTTGTATAAAACAGTGACCTATGCCTTTAATCTGGTAGTGAAATGTTATATTTAACACCAAACCACGAGAGATCGTGAAGTTTAATAACGGTGCGGGACAGTCTGGCCACCCAAAGTACTATTTTGGAAAGGAAATGAAGGAAGTACTGCATCTGTTTGTCTTGACTGGGTGAAGCAGGAACAGGAACTGGAGGACTGGGCGTAGATTCCAAAATGAAGGGAGAGACTTTGATATTTTCTCTCCATCTTCAGTGTTTTTCCTCAGCAAGAAACTTATATTTATAAAAGAAAATTATATTTGTACTGGGTTTTAGTGTCAGAGATATTATAAAAAAAAAAGAGGCATGGTACTCAAAGAATCCTGGAGTTGTGGTTTTACAGTAGAATCCAGCTTTATATCCAAGTGACTTCTGAAGTAGGACCGTACCCCTGTAAAAGTAAGGTTTTTCTCTGATTGGCTGCCCCTCACAAGCAGATGATGCAAACAGCCAATGGTTTGGGGCTTCGGTGGTTACAATCAGAGCAGAGTGCCTGATATGACCATATTAAAGATATCCACGCATAATCACATCATAGAGAGGCAAGAGAAGGAAAAATTGTCTGAAACTGAATGGCTCACGGGGACAACTTGTGCATAATCTGACCTTTTTATTTGAACCTTTAGCCATTTTTAATCAGCGCATCCACGATTTAACAGAGGTTGTGTCATTTCTTGCCTGAAAAAATCTAAATGTATCAGTATTTATGCATGTTCTGAATGCTCGTGAAAAAGAATCCCAATACTCTTAAGAATTTGTGGTGTCTTGCTCTCTGTTTTTCACTCAGACGATGATTGCAGTCACATGGAGACACTGGTTAGTTTCACACCCAAAGAGACTTGGCGAGCATGACCCATAGCCTCGTGTTGGCTGCATGTTAGACCCTGAAAGGACATTTCTAATCTTGTTGTCAGACCACAGAAGAAACACTTAGTCTGAAGCATACTTAAAACTTTCACTTTGCTCCGCTCTCTACTATAAAATCTTGTTCATCCCCTTGCATTTCACCTGACACACGGTATTCCTGCTCATCAGTCAGGCTCTTGTAAAGAGCCAGGTATAACAGACCAAGTGGTACTTTTCAACAAAGTCAGGTTTAAGCCTATATTCACCCAGCGCCTTCAAAAGCGTGTGCTGTGCACGTGTCTCCCAATGACTGCCAGTTGTGTACCCTCAGCAGTTTCTCTTTTTAAATGTCTGCCTCCTTAAAACCCCATTAAAGCCATCAGGCAGTGCGAGAAACATTCCTGTTGTCAAGCACAGGAATGGGCTCCTCAACTGAGAAATCGCAGCCTCTCTTCTAGTGCCGAAAAGCGGATTTATTGCTCAAACCCATTTCCATAGAAAGTTATAGATTTATTACAAGGTGTGATCACTATTATGGAATATCTCTGCAAGTCAACATCAGCCGCAGAATATTTATGAAAGCATTAAAACTCAAAGCACCCATAGGCAGCATTTCAGTGTTATAACAGAGTCCAGACTCCAGCTGTCATCCCCCCGAAGAGATATCAGACTCAACATACTGGTGAAAAGTATCAAACTTAATGCAACTTTTTTCTTACTTCTTTCCTGAGATGGAAAGTTGAAAATGTAATATTCACTAATGTGACCATGTTGAATCTCACTGAATTCTTAGGAAAGCCAAACGAGTCTTTAGGATTCAGTTACTCCTGTCACAGTGTGAGGTCATTCATTCAAAGTTTCTCTTTGTCCAAGGAAGAAGCTCACACCACTGTGCTGCTCATCGGGATCCGCAAAGAGGCCCGGTCACAAGTACTTCACCTCTCCAGGAACAAGCGCTACACCCTCACCCCGGAGAAGCTCAAATGGGACAAGTTCAAGCTCACATACAAGTATTTATTTACAGCCTGCGATGCACAAAAGCAATACAAATTAGGCAAAGGGAGGGTGAATATTAGTGCTAAAAGAAACCGAGATGAGAGACCGAGGCTCCAGATTTCAAACAATCGTGCACTATAACTACTGTTGATGTGGGTCAGCTGCTACATTTTCCAATCTTAAGTCACTGTTTGCACTGAACCTTGTCCACCAAAAGTTTGTCGAAGCACCAAAAAGTGGTCTGAATTATCATCTGACTGTGAACACTGTAAAATAGTGAGCACATAGGGGACTCTGAAAGTCACGCCACAGTTGCTTGGCTTCCAAAGAGTTGGATTGAGCTGTGTTAACTGTCAGGAGAAGATCCAGTAACTTTATTCATCCTGGAGCTGTAAAATGATCCGCTAACGGGAAGATTAGATTGAGCTAGAGGAGCTCCAAAAACCGTTGGTTGGTGGTAGACAAACTTTTTTTTTAAAAACAGCTTAATTTAAGTAATTTTCGCACTAGTAAAATGGATGGTATCAACAATTTATTAAGTTACTGTCTAACTGTGATATTAGAAACTATCTGGTCTCACTAAAACAGAGCTGTGCTGAGGAATGTGGGAATTCTTTTGTGTCTGAACAGTAGCTATTGTGTTTTGGCAGATTCCTCAGCTGTAGAGGAATGTGTTGAGGGACAACTATTAACCACACCGTGCTGTTGTTTCCGAGCAGGTTGCTCTCCTTCCCTACAAACTTGATGAACGCCAGCGATACACGTCGGGGAATCGCCAAGGCTTTTGGCATGTGGAGCGACGTCTCGCCGTTCACCTTCAGAGAGGTGCCGGCCGACCAAGAGGCGGACATCAAGATCGGTGGGTGCATCTCTCCCTCAAAAGATGTTGCTTGGTTAGTTCTGAGTGCCAGACTTTTCTGTTTCTCCCTGCTGTCGTCGCCGCAATTTCTTTGCCACATTAAATCGCAGCACTGCAATGACATTACCAAGCTTATATTCAACACATATTCATAATTCTTAATGAAAAAAAATGTCTAACAACTTCCAGACATATCAGCTCATGGCAAAAGTCCCCAAATTCTGCTTTATCTGCCCCCTTTGGGTGCAAACTCGAGAGTCCTGCATAAATTCTCAGAGTGAGTGAGAGGAATGGTCGTCATCCTCTGAGTTTGTCGTTTGTGATCCATCATCTCCCCACTCCAGTCTCCACGGAGCAGGAATAATGGAGGGAGGGCTTCCCTCCTTGGCTCCGAGCTATTTCTCTCCGTTTCTCTGTTTTGGCAGGCTTCTATCCAGTCAACCACACAGACTGTTGGCAGTCCCACTTGCACCATTGTTTCGATGGCATCACAGGAGAACTGGCTCACGCGTTCTTCCCGCCAACAGGCGAGATCCACTTTGACGACCACGAATATTGGATTCTGGGAAACATGCGCTTCAGCTGGAAGAAAGGCACGCATCTTTATTGTGTTTGCTGAAACTTTTAATATTTCATGCGTGAAGTAATGAATGCAGCAGACACCGAGCTGAGCTGTCTCTGTTGCAGGGGTTTGGCTGACGGATCTCGTCCACGTGGCGGCTCACGAAATCGGTCACGTCCTGGGACTCATGCACTCCATGGATCCCAAAGCTTTGATGCACCTGAATGCAACTCTGACAGGGCGCAAGCTCATCACACAGGATGAGGTGTGGGGTTTGCACCGGCTCTACGGTTTGTTCACAGTCCTTATGTTTTCTCTCACACAAACATTAAAGGTCTTCTTTTTGTACTTTCATAACACATCTGAGGATTTGGGGGGACGTATGTGGTCTAGATGACACATTGAAAGGCATCCCAAAGCCTCTTGATTGAATGAATGAGGCCCATAAAGAGCTGGGATCAAGACACATGATGAGGCTGATGACACATATGGCAGCATCAGGATTGAAAATGAGCATTGAGTGTCAACTGGTATTTCACAAGGGCAGAAAACTGACGGTGCATCTGGGAAGCCTCTCAACAGCCTGACAGAAGAACCTGCAGGAGAATTCATTCCCTCGGGCAGTTTGACAGGTTCAAGAATTCCTTAACGTTGTTGTTAAACATGGCCGAGGGAAAACAAGATTGATGCTGCCGCTGTCAGATGAGATGACGAATTGGGTCTAGACTCCAACTGGCCTTCAAACTGCATATGTCCTGTAAAGGACGCTGTCCAACATCCCACTGGGATGATTTAAGGCATTGCCCAGATCGGACGCTTTCTCAGAATGTAGTCTGATGCTGGTATTAGAAGCATCTAGATATTCCTGTAAAGGAGTATTGCTGCGCGCTTCTGATCAAAACCAATCATAATGTAGAGCACAATGTTTGCGTTTGATGGCTGAAAGCGAAACATTAATGAATACTGTACAAAATACTCACGAGTGGTCTTTAGCGTGTGTCATAGTGAGTCATTTTCACTGGCACAAAAAGCAGATTGTGTGTTTGTGTTTGGAGGGTTGGAGGTGTTCCAATTCTTTTGCCTGACTAAGAGCTGCCATCTGACCCTCCTCCTCACTTCATCTCTCCCCCCTCCTCCAGGATGTTTGGATCGTCTATTTATCTGTCCGGCCTGGGCTCGGAAAGGCTACTGCGAGAGCAAGCGCAGACTGATGCAGAAGCACTGCCCCTCCAGCTGTGATTTCTGTTACGGTAAGAAGCAGCAGTGGCAACGGCAGCAGGAGTCCAGGGGGAAGGAAAAAAAAAAGAAGACAGAGAAAGTTTTCTCTCAATTGAGCAGCACAAGGAGCTGCTGTGAACCGTTTGCCAATGGAGCAACGGGAGCCAACAGGTCCAGCCATGCAGAGCTGCGCTGGAGGTTTTCAAGGGTCTGATTTGTAGGGAGATTACACTTGGCGCTGGGAGAGTCTGTGTTTTATTTCTGGAGAGTGGCAGCGTTTCAGAACGCTCACACAGCAGGGCCGCTACCTGTCGATTGCTCTCTCAGTGAGGGCTGCTTTACACAAGTGTCACTCATCAGACAACTGCCTCTGTAGGTTTATTGTGGGATGCTGTGGTGCAGAGATCTCCTTTTTTTTTGCACAACAAGAAGTGGCTCAGTTTTAACTATCACAGCCCCACAGACTGTGGCTTTCTGAGATTTTTTTGTCAGCAACAGGGGGACAGTGTGGAGAGAGGCAAGAGGATACGATTCCTGGCTCACAGTAATCTGTTCCTCATTGCTGATTGGGAGACGTTGTACGGCTGTGGAAAATTCCTGAGTGACTCCAAACCGCTGGAATTTCAGACTGTGGCTTGAGGGTTAGAGACACACAAGGTCAATTTGGATTTTTGCAGCATTAACGAGAGCGACTGTTTTTTAGGCAGACTCTGAGTTGATCACGAGGCGGCCTGTTGCGCTTGTCACCAGATGGGAGAGATTACACTGATAACACAGGCACACCGCCAGCAGGTTAGCAGCATGGATGCCTGACGTGATAACGCTGCTATCAATGATTTTGACAGCAATCAGCATTTTGGCGAGGCGTTTGTGAAAGCATGGGCGTTTCTGGGATTTAAAAACAAACAAAACATGGGGAACGCACGGGGGCTCAAATCAAGAAATTTATATATTTGGTGAAAAATAAATAAACAGAGTGAAGAAACCTGGCGTAGAAAACACTGATAAAAATCTCTCATGTGCAGCCCGACGCCCAGATAGAGTATTATATCAAAAGTCTGTGTAGTGCCCACACAGAATATCTTTAAAGTACTAAAGGAAAATGACTCATCAGGCAGGAACATGCATTCATTCATCTGTGTTTCTCTTTAATGTTGCTGCTAGAGAGGATATTATTTACTTATGTACTCTCGGGTAGTTTTACCTACAGTAATTCTACATTAATACAGCGTTTCAGCAGATTAAAACAATAACTAATAAGTAACTAAACCTTAAAAAATATGGAGTACAAATGACACTATGTGCATCCAAAACATAGTGGAAAGCAGAAAGCAGGATAACTTAATTTCTTAATTTTTTGCTCCAATAAACAAGACTTTCTTGTACTTTTTTAAAAAAGTTTTCTTGATGAATGGTTCGCCAGGCTTTCTGAAGATTTTTCACAGCTTCTCTTTGGACATTGGCTGCTTTTTCACTCGTTTGTTTGTTTGTTAAGTCTCATAAGACTGACCTATCAATCATTCAATCATAAAAAGATGCTTAACTCAAGGGATGAATCAGTGTTGTGTCTACACATAACAGACAATCTTAGAATTACTGCCAGTATGTAAAAAAAAAAAAAGCATCATCTTTTCCATTTCTTTAGTCAAATCTATGAAAAATACCAAAGATAACACAATTTGACAGGCATGGAATCGTATTTTTGCACCAACAAGATGATTCCCAAAGAGCTATTAGACAAAAACTTGGCATATCTCGGACCTCGACATTATTGAAGCAGTGTGGGATTATCTTGACAAAAGGCAGCCAAAATCCAAAGAAGAGCTTTGAATGCCCTTTAAGAACCCTGGAGAACTATTCCTGATGACTACTTAAAGAAATGACAAGAGAGTTCAGGCTGCGTGGAAGAATAAAGGTGGTCATAACAATAATGACTTTCAAGCTCACTAGAATTGCACACAAACTCTGTTTTTGCCGTATATACAGTATTTCCATGTATGATTGCATAATTTCAATAAACTGTTGCACCTAGTTCACATTTTCCTTTCAGGCACTGCTGTGTGAGGAAAGGCTGTGACAGCTGGAGACAGTGAAAGAAACTGAGGTTTATGGTTATCACAAATCTTTTAGTTCCTTTTTGATCACGGGTGGGAAACATTTATTTCATACAGCCACACTGACTAAGTTAGATAAAGTCAGCCAAGAGCCACACACCGGCTATATGAATGGAAACACAGCTACAGGTTAGAGTGATTAAATTACTAATATTCAACCCAAACGTTGTATTATCGTTTAAATTAGCCCACATCTTGCAAGTTGTCACACTGATAATCATTTTATGGTTAAGAACACCAAGTTATGACCTTTACATTTCCTGTTGTGGTGCACCAGCTCACCAGTGTTTTCTTTTCTATCCTCTTCAGAATTCCCTTTCCCCACCGTAGCTCCCACCCCGGCTCCCCCAAGGACCAAACACAAGCTGGTGGTCGAGGGCAAGAAACTGACATTTCGTTGCGGGAAGAAAATAGCATCAAAGAAAGGCAAAGTACAGTGAGTGTCTCTCTCTCTCTCCCTCCAATATGTTATCAGTTTACCTGGTTACAGTGATGCTACAGTATTGCAGTTGCTGAGCGCCGTCTCTAACGTGCGAATCCTGTTTCAGCTGGTACAAGGACGGGGAGCTGCTGGAGTTCTCTCACCCAAACTACATCTCACTGAAAGACGACCACATTACTATAGTGGCCAACGCCATCAACGAAGGCACGTACACCTGCATCGTTAAGAAGAAGAACAAAATTCTCACTAACTACTCGTGGAGGGTACGCGTGCGCTTCTGAAGCAGAACAGCCCAGCTCCTCTGCACACTGAACAGGACATATTCACAGATGGTCACCAGGAGACCTCACTCACTAGGGCACATACTAGTATTTTTTGTTTTGTTTTTTAAACGTTCTTCCTGTATCCACGTAAAATTGTTGACCGTCTTTGTGTCAATGCGTTTACATCTGTGCAAAGAATAAATGCTCTGTGACAGATATTTTTTACATTTTTTGTGGAAAACACTACCTGACTGTAAAAAGCTGTTTGTGGCAGATGCTGTGGTTTGCATTTTATTTGGTGATGAAAGTTCTGTGCAGCTCTCATCAGCTGTTCGGGACGATGACGTCAGTCTGGATTCATCAAGCCTGGACTTCTTCAAAGCTCTTTCAGCTAAGGCAGCTGAAGGAGTCCAAGGCCACCCACGGGATTCCTCTGAAAAATAGGGACTAATTAGTTGCACAGAAACCCAGAAGATATTAGTACTGTTGGGAGAACTCACCATAGCCTTCTACAAAATGTCCCAAATGTCTTTTTTTTTTTTTTAATGGACCTGAAAAACTTACAGAAGCCCTTGCTTTAGATGCATAGCATTCAAATAATTTACACACTGCCCAAGTAAGCTACTAAAGCCAGAATAAACAATGTTGTCTACAGCCTTTGGAACCATTTGGACCTTAAACCGCATATGGAACACCTCAGACGTCTAGCTTACTTTAGTAGTCGCACGCTGAGGCCAATAGTCTGCCTCCAGGGACTGAGCAGTCAGTTCCACTCGCAGCTCTCTGTCCAAGCTTATTCAACACATCAGGTGTAATAATCTGCAGAAAGGCCTACGGTGGGTCCAGGGGATAGATAAAATTGATTAATGAATATTTCCATTTAGTGCTGGCTCTGCGAGCCCCAGGACAGGAGGGGACTTTTTTCAGTACCTGTTCCAGTCGTGCAGGGACCCGAGCTGCACTGTTTATTTTTCTTTGGCTCGAAATCAAAGAATTTATTGGTTTCATTCTGAAGTCAGAGTCATTTAAAAACAAAAGCAAAGCAAGCCGGGGCCTTTGTTTCCCCCTGAAAGAACAAAGTACTGAGACAAAGTGTGCAGCACAAGGAATGACATCACTTTTGGACAGCAGCTACCAAGCTGGTTTGAAGGCTGGATTTCTTTCAGGCTCGACTTCCCTTCATTTTTTTCCCCCTCCTTTGGCAGTGTGCGGTTGTGTTTGCATAGCTTGGACAGAGTTTATAAATATGGGAAAAAAGGCAGACAAAACAAAGTTTCAAACTTTATTTCTAGCAAAAACATCAGTTCCCTGTCATCAGGAGAGCTGACATTCCCATTTAAATTTTAACATTATGCTGGATGGAACACACAGCAAATGCTGCATCATTATACAGTAGCTCAGGCAGCCAGGAAATACCAACCATTTATAAAACCTGGTCCTCTCTCATGAAATATAAAAGGGAAAATAAAAGTCAAACATGAGAGAAACACTTTCGAATAGATTTATGGTTGTTTCTCCTCTTTAAGAGCTACAAAGGTCACATTTCAGTTAGTTAAATGGCTTAATATAAAAAAACAAACAAACAAACAAACAGGAAGAGTGGAAATTCAACAGGTTTGAGCCATCAGTCTTGCTGTGAGACAGTCTTGACTATGTGGTAACAGTTGTAAATGATCAGATACTGATCTGCTCTAAAGCTGTAAACCAGTGATACGATCCGGTTCCAAACAAAAAACAAAACAAAACAAGAAGTCCCACGAGTCTTTGCTGGATCTTTTCCTGTTTTCCAGCTGGGCGTCCTGAAGCCTGAGGCTCAGAACTTGAGGCTGAATCCTGGACCGACTGCAGATGCCCCCTGATAGCTGGTTGTCAGGTGGAAGCCAGTATCTCTCAGGTCATCATCGCCCTACAGAGACAATGGAAACATTCACAACTTGTAACATTAACAAAAACTTTTGAAATCTTGCACTTCTTACATGCTTATTACAAAACTGACCAATATTATTTTATGACTCTAGTTACCTTTGGAAACCCCTAACCTGAATTTAATGACAGATTTGATTACAACTAACAGTTTGTATTAAGACTATTATTATTAACACTCCAAATACTTAATCACAAGCTCAAGCTTTTTTTTCACCCTGACGAGAAGAAAAGTGAGACAAAAATACACTTGTCATGGTCTAATTGGCGTGTAAGGCAGCAAATACCAACACTTAATTCCACTGAAAAATCTCAGTAGTGGCCTTAAGCTGCTGGGTGAGCCGGACCACTGCTGAAAACATTAGGAACTAAAAAGTGCTCATCATGGAAAACACGAGGAGGAAATACGCGGACACAAAGCAGAAGCCTGTAGGTCTGTAATCTATTTAACACAGGCAGCGTTCAGAAAGCCTGGTAGCTGTGTGTAATGGAGAAAAGTCAGGCCTAATGCTCTTACCAGGTGACTGTAGCCCAGGCCTCCCTCGGGTGGACGAGGACTGGTGCCTCGCTTCACCCTCTGCTGCTCGCTCTTAGCCGGCCAGGTGGGGAACATCGAGGAGTCAATGGGGAGAGGAGACTCCCTGAAGTACTCATGTTTGAGAGCCTCATCTGATGAAATCCTCTTACTGGGGCAGTAGGTGAGGAACCTGGAAAACAATCAATAATAATTTTAAACTTATGTTTTAGCAGCGTTTCATCAGAGATGCCAAACTGCCTCGGAGAACTCAGGCTTCTTGTGTGGACAAAACTGCCAGACCTGCTCTCACCTCAGGTTTTTTTTTTCTCTGCTATTCAAACGGGTCTGCCTTTTAGCTCAATGAAGGCCAGTTCCACAGTTGGAAAACCAATCAGGGCTCTGTAGGTAGGATTAACCATGAAGGAGCGATCTTTCTGTGCCATGGCCAAAAAATAGTGACGAGAAATGGCCAGCAGAATGACGCATGCATGGATGGGATTGACGCAGCTTTACAGGTTGCTGTAAGTTAACAGCGCCTAACAGCTAATTAATGGTTTCTGTGTAATCAAAGTCCTGCTGATGGTTGTGTCTGATGCGAACATTTGAAGATTACACATGTGCCAGCTGACTTTTACTTTACTGGGTCACAGTCACACTGAGTAACGCTGGCATATAACTGGCATCAAAATGCTTGAAAAGCTCCATTTCACCGTTGTTTTCCCTACTTTTTCTACTCTAAATGATGTCAAAAAATTCATATTCACAATGTGGTTGTCTACAGAAGGACTACCCACCTAATCTTCAACGTCCCCAAATAATATTAACAAGGATCACTCTGATTATTCTGCAAAGTTACTCTTACATAGTCAAAGAAAAAAAATGTTTAGTGTTTAGTGTATAACAGTGTATAACAGGCCCTGTAGTGACACAGTCTGAACACAAGGTGTGGTGCTGATGCCAAAGGCCAGAGAGTTTCTTTAAACAGTCGTAATTATACATGACAGGAGCAACACAGACTCAGACTGTGTCTGAGGGGAACCCTCCGTAAGTGAGTGCAGACATTAAACATAAAAGATTTTACAAAACAAATGATCTCTAATTTAACTACTAATTTATCTACAGGAGGATTAATGGCTGGGATTAGACAGACACCAGGTCTAGAAGACAAGAGCACTATACTAGCAACATAAGACAAAACCTGCTACTTGTGTCCAATGCACCATTTTGTTATGGAATTACAAAAATGTGCACTCTTCCTGTCCTGTAAGCTTGTTCCTTTTCTTGACTGAGGACCCAGCTGCTTTTCATTTGAGGACTACGGTCCTATTTATGCACGGGACACCAGGTAATGGAAACTCATTATCTAACAGGATAGAAACAGGACAGAAAACAGGCAGGATTCTGGCTCTCTAGGAGGATTAAAATTGGGATCTCTTAACTACTACATGTTGAAATGGTAAACGTATAACAGGTTAAAGAGTTGTGAATTGAAACCTCCTTCAGTTAGACACTGAATCTGGGTCTTCAATTGCTTTCACACACAGGAGAGGTGTGATATTGCAAACAACAACCAAAAAAACCATTGCTCTGCAATGTCAACCTGCCAGATACACCTCCAAAGTTTCTCTGTACTGCTCCGTTGTGAAGCTTTTCTAACAGCACTTCCCTACGTGTTGTACACTGACAGCTGAAGTTTCAGCAATTTTGGAAATGAACCAAATTTCCACCAAATTGTGGTTCCTCACACAGCAGCACAGCAAACATGTTGTTACCATCCTCTGCAGCTGGGAGCTAGCTGACCAGCATGGTTTTGTCATTTACAGGTGTAGAGAAAAGTTTCTGTGGCTGGTTAAAGACCTGAGAGGAGAGTTGAGAAGCTCATCTGCGCAGTGCAGAACAAAGCTGATCTTTGGAATGTGAGAGAAAGAATTATGAAGCCATCACTGATTTTCCCTATTAAATGTGTGTTTTCTAAAACATTTTCCTGTACTGTGGAGCGTCACCATGGTGAGTGCGTGTGTGTGAAACGGAACAAGGGGGATGGAACTGGACTCCTGCTGGGATATATCCACTACTGCTGTCATGTTTTAAGAAAGCTTGCCAGAAGTGCACCGACTAAATAAAAAGCTGTGGAAAGAGTAACAGAATTTGACAGGGTAGAAAAGGGTTCGTCCAAGTAAGGCAATTTCCACTGCAGGAGCCGTGCTGATTGTTACCTAATACATGCTCTTCATCACTGTATACCAGTGATATGTGTTCTCTCAACACTGAAAATTTGCCATCAAATATTTACACAAGTCTATGGGACTTATTCTCTATTCCTTAAAAATGGCTAATTTATAATGTATTTGACCTTTTTTTTCAAATGGTGTCTTTATGGTTTATAACCTCTTTAGTATCTTTTGAAAACACAGAATCTACAGACACATGAAAACAGACAATAGCTGCAATACTACAACCTGACTGCAGTGCAGTGAAAGGAGTTATGTTTCTTATGCAAGAGTAAAAAAAAAGTCTCTAAAAATCCTACTTGTTCATGAGGTCAAAGCCTTGGTCTGACAGCAGTGCTCCAAAGCGCTTTCGCAGGTTGTTGTAGGGGTACTCTGTGAAAGTCATCTTCTTCACAGCGGGCAGCTCGCTGTAGCCGGGCCAGATCTTCTCGCTGGGCGACCCTAGATCCTAGAGTCAACACAGACAAGTCAGCAGACATACTTTTAGTCCACTCCCCCAAAAAAACAAAACAAAAACAAAAAAAGTGGACACGAGAGATTCCCAGTTTGGCTGATGTGCTCATTAACTGCAGAAGTGGCAAGTAGCCAGTCCTTGGTGCATTTCAAAACTGATTACTGGTAACAACAACATGGGAGGCCCAGGTAACATCGCTTCATATTGCTGTTATGCCTAATTTAGATCATTTAGTGTAAGGTATAACAACATCATCTGGGGTGACAGCTACCAGCAGCTCCACCCTGTGGTTCACTGCAGAACTGCACTCTGACAGAAAACCTTACAAGCAGTAAAAAGAAAAGCTTCAATATTTATAGTGACAATACCCCACCTTTTATAAGCACAAATGAAAGCATTTACCTTGAAAATCTTGTTAATTTGGTCAATTTCAGATTTTCCAGGGAAGAGAGGCTTCTGGGTAAGAAGCTCGCCAAATATGCAGCCCACTGACCACATGTCCACAGCTGTGGAGTATTCCTGCGGAGAGAAGAACAAACACAGTGGCAGTCCACAGAAACATAAAGTAGACTGTCTGCCTGGCACGTTCCTCCTGGAGTTTATGTGAAAGTGGATGCACACTGACGGGTCGCTAGGCCTCTGCCGTCTGACAGCATAAATCATGCAATGTAAAACTCTAATAGCATTTTGTGGTATTTGGTGTGTTACAAGCCAAATGCTCAACAGATGTTGTCTTCTATTGGAGAGATATGCCTTTGTGTAAAACAATCAGTCAGGATGATGTAACTATTATCTATGAAAGGCCATCACTTTACTGTCTGTAGTTTCAGCTATTGTATTCAGGATTCATCAGACTCCTGCAGTGTGTGAATTTGAATTCTCACCTTGGCGCCAAGCAGCAGCTCAGGCGATCTGTACCACAGGGTAACCACCACCGGGGTGTAAGGCTTCAGGGGGGAACCGTACTCCCGGGCCAAACCAAAGTCACCAATCTACAATCCAAGACGGATGAGGAGACCTTTGAAATGCTCTAGTTTGGGCTAAATAACAGTATTTCAGCATTAAAGATGTTTATATCAAAATCATCTGACCATTAAAGAAGAAATCAAATGACTGCAAATCCTGGCAGCAGGGAGTCATATTCAATTTGAAAAAAAATTACACAATCGAGTGTAATTCACATTATCTACTGCCAATATGCATAAAATTCACACCAACAAGTGTCTGTAAAAATTTTGTTTATTTACACATGGACCCAGTCTTCACTACACTTTGCCAGAAATTCATGCTCTAATTGAATTCTACTAATCATGTGTTGTTTATGCAACTGTGTTCATGCTGCTAGCTTGTTGGAAAGACAGATTAATGAAATCACCTTTTGGATTTCCTCCATTACTATGCTTTAAAAACAAATGTGAAAGATTAAAAAAAATGTAAAAAAAGTGAGACAGTATTTAAGAGTCAAACCAGGACTTTTAAGTGTTGTCATCTAGTGACTGTTCTTAATGAAGACTAGCGATAAACCAACTATCAGTGTCTCAGGCTACGTTCACACTGCAGGTCAATTCCGATTTTTTGATCAAATCCGATTTTTTTTGTCTGCTTGTTGACACTACAAATAAAATGCGACAGCAAACGCACTCTAGTGTGAACCCTCAAAGCATGTGCAAAAGAAGACGTCACACACAACGCGCTCTATTTAGACCCAGAGCAAACAGTATTGTTTGACTGATGGCCCTTAATATAAAGACTTGTTTCTGACTTTACATTTAGAATTTTGCTTTAAGTTATAAAGTTATTTTGTTATTTACATATGGCCTAATAATTATCCTTATTGCTGTTTTAGAGAGGAGCGGTGCTTCAAAGGATAGTTGCTGATTTCTGTCAGAATCTGCAGATTATACAGTACAAATAACATGTTCGCGTTTCTCCAACATCGTCTTCCCAACAG